CTTTTTTGGGTTGGTCGTCGAAGATTTTATTGACCACGTCTTCAGCAGAGACACCAAAGAAGTCGCGGGTATACTTTTCCCACCAATCCCCAAAGTTGTCAGTACCAAGAGATTCAGGAATGGTCGGTCGGAGTCGAAATTTTTTATACTTTTCCTAAAACTCTTTTTCTGTATCTCTACACTCCCTCTCGGAGGAACCAGAGAGGCGTCCTTGACTTAAGAGAAAGCGAGAAGTAAGTATGGGTACTGGGCAACCTTGGAGGTAGCCAAGCTGCCGGGCAACAAAGTGGGGATGATAGACCTCCCAATTAGCTTGGCGAGCGCCGCAGCCGAGGGGAAGGTCGCGTGTCAACACGAACGACCTCTAGTGTTGACGAAGATCAGCATCTTCAGTCTCATCCCATGCTGACTTCGGAAGCCTGATCGAGGCGGGGTATTCTTGACGCCAACATATTAAGAATTCGTCGTCAGAAAGGAAGTCTAGGCCGAAGAAGTGTTTATAGACTTCATCAGCCCGATGATGAGGCGCCAGTCGAGAGGCCAATTGAGGGCCGAACGCTGTGGTAGATTGCAAGACAGGAACTTCTGGCCGAAGTGTGGAAAAATAAACCTGCAGCCAGATTTGGAATACCCAGAGGGGTCCGTTCTGGTGCGGGTCGATTTTGTTGATGGTTGTTTCGGCCAGACAACGAAAGAGATTGGCAAATATAGTTGGACTGAGTGCCAATGAGTGACCACTAGCCAGGTTTTGAGCCATCGGCATATTTTCGACCAAGCACTTATTCGACTTGGTAGAACATATAAACTTGTTGTACTAGTAGAATAGGAAGGCTTCGTGCTCGCCTTTCCGCAAACTCGCCTCCCCACGGCCAGCAAAGTGGATGATGAGGGTGTTGTAATTGAAAATGTTATTGTGCAAGTTTTGAACTTCTTCTTTTGAAGGTTCCTGACCTTCTCGGCTAAGCGTCTCGACGGCTGGGTCATCGAATAGTGCTTTGAGGTCGAGATTCGACGGGCACCCAGAAAGGGCAGCATCTATTCGGAGGCCAGATGGGGAAGTCCCAAGGATAGCTGAGATATCAAGGATGGTGGGGCTGAGAGGGCCGAAAGGAGGGATCATGGTGTTGGTGGCCGAGCGCCATAAACTCAGAGTCACCATAAGTAGCTCTTTATCCATAACAATCTCTATAGTTGAGAGTTTGATGGCGTGGTAAATGCCAAGAACCTCTCATTCTTTGCCGAAGAATTTTTCCATTCGTTCGACCCAGGCTGCCCAGGTTGTAGTGGTCGAGGGCCAAGCTCCTTAGGGCCTTGCCAAGCACCACTTTGACTAATCAAACCCTGGCAGCAAGGGTGTCAGGCACTGTTCTTTGAGGAGGTTGGTGATGAAAGATGGTACTGTGTCTTTAAAAAGTGGCCCCAGAATTTGATAAGTGGTGTTTAAGTCACTCTTAAAGCACAATGTTTTGATGGCACTCCGGTCAATGAAATCCTTACATTTGTTGCACTCGTCAGAGAACTTTAAGTTGAAGGATGCCATCGATGAAGATTCAAAGATTTGTCTGGGTTTGACGGAGGTTTGTGAGATGTGAGCTTGAGACTTTCTGGTTTTGAAAAAGCAGGAATGGCGAGAGGAGGTTCAAAGTTTCTAAAGGCGTAAAATGCAAATGAAGGAAATTCAGGTATTTATAGGCATTTCAGAAGGAAGATCAAACGTTTGATCTTCAAAAGCGCTATATTTTCAAATTTGAAGGAAAAATCGACCAGGAAATGGCCAATCATTTCGGATATCTAGGGAATCTCCAAGGATAGGATCGAGGTTCTCGAGGTTTTAGGACGCACGATTGCGTGCGGTGGCAGATTTAATGTATTGATAAGGAAAAGACGCTTCGACGGGCGCACGTTTTCGAGGGCCATGATTAAGGGCTGTTAGGTTTGTTGAAGAATCGACACATGGCAGGACATCGGGAAAAACAGAAATTGTGCAATCATATTTCATAAATGCGCATGGTGATGGTTATTGAGACAGTTAAGTCTAAAGGCAAAAGACGTTTTCGCTTCTTCAAGGTCGAGATTCGATTGAGGATTGGTGGTCAACGACCTCAGAAGCGAGGGGGCAATGTTTGGACCTAAAATTATTGGGTTGGGCCGAGTATGGAATTATTCTCGGCCTAGAAGCTATGTTTGAGGATTTCTACAAACCAGCCGGTTCATGGGCCGCCTAACTAAAAGTCGACCAAGCCTTGTTTGGAAAAGAATTTTCCAGATGAATAGGAAGTAGGTGGGCCCTATTGTGAAGCAGACAAATGAAGTGGTTAAGTCCTGATGCAGTAAGGATTTTCGACCAGACAAGGATACCGGAAAGTGGATGTGAATGTAGCCTAGTAAGAGGTTGAATTCAAAATCCTAATAGAGGTGGGATTGGCCGAGATAAGATGGATTAGGGTAAGGAGTCCTAGTTCGAGTATGGTTAAGATTGGGTTTTGTTGCTATAAATAGAGAAAAAAGGGTGCAATTCAGGGATCTCCAATTCAACACACAACTACCCTGCGCAAAACCTCTCAAACATCTTGAGATTTTTTATTTTCTTTTTTCCATTGACACATCTTCAGTTTGGATAAATAGCATTGTGAAGGCAACCGGCGAACACCTTCAGTTTGGATAAACAGCACTGTTGCCGTAGAATCAACCGACCGAGGAGCACTTTCAGTTTGGAAAAACAGCACTACGTTGAGACCAACTGGTTACCTATCCAAGTCTCGGTCAAGAAGGGTTTCCGAATCCTTATTGGCAGAGGTCATCTTATTAGCCTTCTTAGTGAAGTAAGGTGTTATGAGTTATGACATTCGGTGCATTGAACGTCAAGTGATTTTATGATTGGATACTCACAAGTGAGTTTCAAAGTTCGGCATTCTGACGGCCGAACCACATTCACCATGAAGACATACATCACCTTTGAATATTTGTGTCCGTACAGTCTGGTGTTGATTCGATGTGCTTATACTCTCACGAATATAATCACTGTGACTGAATCTGGCGCCGACGATTTGTGAACTTTGCAGAACTAATAGCCTTGTCTTCAGGCTCGAGAATCCAAAGGCTGAAATTTGTTCCTTCCTCGGCCGCAATCGCAAGATAAAGAAGTCAGCAACGCGCTCAACGCAACATCAACAAATTTTACTCCTCGGCTGAGCTCGGCCGACGAGTTGGCACGCCCCGCATTCAATCGAAGGACATAGTTAGCTTATTAGTTACTCGGCCTGCGCGCCACGTAGGCTTTGTAATTTTTAGGACCAACACCTTCATAAGACAAAAATGTTTAGTTGTTCCTCATTCGAGGCAGGTTACAGACAAGAAAACTAACCCTATTTGCCTTTTTTGTAATAGTGATGAAGAAGATCAACAACATCTCTTTGTAATTGCAGCTTTTCTCAAGATGTTTGGAGGATCTCCAATGGTCCAATGCCCATGAATTTAAGTTCATTTTTGATTTATTGGCTATCCCATCTAAATATGAATATGAATTTGAACTTTCTGATCTAAGTAAGGCTCTTCTAATTTATTGGCAAACGTGGAATGATAGCAATAATCTTACTTTCCATGATTGCAAGGCTTATCCTGCTAAGGTCCCTATGGTTCTTGCTATAGTTGACAGGCAATATTACCTTGCCAATAAAAATTTAAGATCAATTTGTACCTAGAATGCCACTCATGTTCGTGATTCATCTCAATTAATTTTGATAGCTCTATTGTGGGTTCTAAGGCTACTACTAGTTTCATCATAAGAGATGCTAAACGGTTCGCCTATTGTGGCTGGCGCCCGCAATCTTGATGAAAGGATAATTTCTGTTGCCGAAAATCTTGCTCTTCATGATGCTTTGAGATATGCAAAAGTAAAAAATTGTAAGAAGGTGTCTATTAAAGGAATGCCACCATTTCTTTGTTTCTTTGTTTCTTCTTTGTTGTTGTTGGTCTCAATCACTGGCACCCCAACCCAACCCCATAATGAAATTCCCAATGCTCTTCCCAACCACAAAAACCAAGTCCATGTCCAACAACACCCATTCACAAATACACGTCCCTATTAATATAAAATAACACTAGCAGAGAGCACACAATTTGTGTGTGTAAACAACCACTCACCTCCTCCCACTTTCTCCTCAAGAGCAACCGTTTCAGTTCATTCAAACTATCCAAAAAACATCATGATTTCACTTACCTGTATGGGAAAATGACGGTGGGACGATTTCTCTTAATAAGTGCATATCTTTAAGTTGTTCAACCTATATGCTTCGCTTGTTCATATTTGTGGCCACATTCAATGGTTTAAGATTAAGCCTTCGAACTTTAATATAATACTTGTTTAGGAGTGCTAATGCATGCACTTTGGTTCTTCATTTAGGATACATGACATCTCGTAATTAATAATACTCATAATCACCTAAGTTTAAAAATATATAACGAGTAATTTTTCTCACATCAATTAAGTAAAGAATTCAAACTAAAAACCTTGTGTTCGGGACAAAAATACAATTAGATCAATAGCTAGTTAGTACATCGAGTAATTATGCGTAGAAAAAATAAATTAAATAAACATATTGGGTGAGCCTAATATAAAAAGGCCTAATTAGATTACTAGTTCATGTGGTGATAGGGTACTCGGAAGATAGCTCATGTCATACAAACCTTAGGATTTAAGCTTCTGTGGTGAAAGTTTGTTAGGATTTAGACCCAAAATTGAAAAATTCGTCAACTCTTCGTTAATTGTTAGCACATGAGACTCACAAGTAAGGCTCACGTGCTAACAATTAATAAAGAGTTATGTTTTAGCCTCATATGTGTGGCTCACTTGCTAATAATTGATGAAGAGTAGATGAAATTTTCAATTTTAAATATAAATCTTAACATATTTCACCACAAGTTCTTAAATCCTAATTAGTTTTACCACAAAAGTTATTATTCGACTATCGTATCCCCACGGAAACTAACCGTCCGTTTAGGCTTTTATAATAAAGTACCAAAAATGGAAAGAATTTGGAGTATCCCCTAGCCATGTAGTATCCTGTTTTTTCACCTCGATTGGACCGATTAATACTTGTTTCGGAGTCTTTTCGCCTTGAGCTTTGTCTCCCTTGTTATCCTCCGCGTTGCGGGCGCGGCTATATGTACGCAGGTGGTGCATACGGTAAAAACCTACCCACTCCCTCCAACTCGAACCCCCAAACCCCCAATCGCTCAAACCCTCCTCCTCCTTCCTCTGTTTCTGTAGTTCAATCATTTCTGTTTGGTTCTGCGCTTCAGATTGATGTCAAGCTTCCACCTTGTTCGAGCTAAAGGGTGAGTTTTCGTCCTACTGTATGTATGCACAGAGTTGGTACCAATGTATATGCTTGTGTTGGTGTACTGTCGTTTGAATCTGTGAGGGCTGTTTGGTTGGTGAGAAAATGTTGGAATTCTGGTGTTTGGGACCCGGGAAAATATTAATTTCGTTATTTGATTTTTGGGTATTAATTTTGCTGATATGAGGGGGGAATTGATTTTTCAGTTACTGTTTGTTTCCCTATTTTCAATTTCTTACCGAGCAACCAAATGAAGGGTTAGAACCAGAATTGTTGTATATTAGTGTTTGGGTTCAGCATTGAGCTAAGGTGGATTTTGGGATTTATGGTTAATTCTATGAAATTCTGTGGTTTTTTGGGTCAAGAACTTGTGATTTTGTTTTGTGTTTAACAATATAATAAAGTTCAACTTCTTGTTTTGGGACAGGAAAGAGATCTACTGAGATTTCTGTTTTGGGTTAGTTTGCACGTTGCAGTGTATGTGCTTAAATGGGGAGTGAGATCGTGTCTGAGTCCTGGTTCGGTAGTTTGAGGTTCTCATGGAGTCATGTGGCGGAGGCTGACAAGCCGGTGATTGGCATTCTGGCGTTTGAAGTTGCTGGGTTGATGTTAAAGGGGTTGATTTATGGAATAGTGTGAGTGAGAATGAGATGCTTAGGTTGAGGGAAGAGGTTGGTAACTCGATTGGGGTCAGAAGGCTTGTGTCTGATGACGACTATTACTTGATGGAAATTGCAGTGAATGAGACAATTGAGAATTTGGGATATCTGGCAGTGTCTGTTGTCAGGCTTGGGAAGAAGTGCACCGACCCTGTGTATCACCGTTTTGAAGAATTTTTTGATGACCCTGTGGAGAATGGTTTTCAGTGGTTTGGGTGGCCATACAAGTGGAAGAAAATGGAGAGGAAAGTGAAGAAAATGAAGAGATTTGTTGAAGCAACAATGCAACTATCCCAGGAGCTGGAAGTGCTGGCAGAGCTTGAGCAAACTCTGAGCTGAGTAGAATGCGCGCTAATCCTGATGTAAATCGGGTAAAATTGCTCAAGTTTCAACTGAAGGTAATGTGGCGGTGTCAAGAAGTAAAAGGTTTACAAGAGATGTCTCCATGGAGTAGAACATATGATTACACTGTCCGACTTTTGGCAAGATCCCTTTTTACAATGTTAGATAGGATAAAGCTTGTCTTTGGATTTCATCAAATGGCTTTGGGACAGGGAATGGATAGCTCTGAAGTTATCAATTCCGTTTGTCTTTCTCGCAGTCATTCATTTTCTGCTCTTAGGCACTCTTCTGTTCATCCATCTGATGGTAATCTATGTGGGTCTGGACCTCTTGGGAGGTCGCTTGCAAAGACGAGGCTTAATGCTCGCAAGAATAGAACAAACAATCAGCGGCAACCTCATCACCAGTCATCCATCCAACATGGAAGTTACTCCCAATTAAAACCCAAACAGTTTGCTCATGTTGGTACGTTTGAAGGATGCATGACTGGTGGAAGTAATTCTCCTGTTTTTGAGAGCTGCAAGCCTGAAATGGGTGGTTCTATGAGGTTGAGAAGTACTGGTATCAAACATTTTGATAGCTTAAAGTACACACATATAGGATCCCAATCTTTCAGTCATGGCATCTATTCTAAACCATCCCTGTTCAGTTCAAAATGTACACTACTGAATGCTCCACCGTCTACCCTTGGTGGTGCTGCTCTAGCGCTCCATTACGCACATGTGATTGTTTTGATTTAAAAGATAGCTTCATCACCTCACTTGATCAGCCTTGACGAAAGATCTAATCTTTACAATATGTTGACCAAAACTGTAAGGACTGCCCTGAGAGTTAGACTGAAGTCATATGCCAAAACTATGGGCTCATCTGTCTATAATCCCGACCTTGCAGGAGGGTGGAATCTGGCGATGGAGCAGATCTTGGAATGGCTTGCTCCACTAGCCCATAACATGATACGGTGGCATTCTGACTGCAAAATTATGAAGCAGCAGGAAGTTTCCAAGACGTATGTGCTTCTGGTCCAGACCCTCTACTTTGCAAGTCAGGCTAAAACTGAAGCTGCAATTACAGAGCTTCTCATAGGTCTGAACTACATGTGCATGGTTGACGAAATTAATAGGAAGGCTTTGCGGGACGCTGGTGGCAGCCGACCATACGATGATTATATTCTCAAACGGGATGAAATTTCTCAACAAATTCTGGAGACGGCAATAGCGTTTTGAACTTGCATTATAAGATGAAGATGTTCAATCAATGAAGTGATTTAGAGAAGCATGAGTTACATGACAACACTTCGAAGAGGTATTTCTAAGCGATCGGATATCGAATAACTCCACTATTGAGATGTTTAAAGCATCAAATTAACACGTTTCGCTTCTCTTTTTGTGTTTTGTTTTTCTTCTTGGAACTCAAAAGAATCTTTCATTTGTTCATATGATGGATGAATTGGGGGCCAACGGTCACTTTCTTGTAAAGCATATCTTGTAATTCGAAACTCTGCGGCATCACGGAATGATATATTTGCACTGCTCTTTTGACATATCCATATCTGTTTTTCGGAAGGTGAAATGATTGCCGCACTCGCTTTTGCTCTCCTCGACTCCTACGCCTCTTTTTTTTCCTTGATTCTCATTTGATCTATTCAATCCGATGACTACATGAAATGTCTAAAGAGGATTGCAAGATGTGAAAAGGCAAAATCACTCCTCTTTCGGAAGTAGTACAGACTCGCATTAGGCAAAAAAACCAACAAACCGGGCAACCGAAGCAGACCAAGGGAAAACAATCGAAGATAACTGAGTTGACCAAAATTGAACTCAAACCGAACCGAACCAAGCATAGGCTGTATCTTGTAACACCACTAACCAGTCTTTAACTTGGAAATATCATATTTTGCTATGGTCAGTCCTTGTGGGCAAGTTTTGACTGTTGGTTAATTATGTTATTCGTATGTATCAACGGTCAGAAATTGTCCATGTGTATTGTGATTCTGATTCAACTAAGACCAATCACTTAATGACATTAGGTAGCCGGTTGGACCCTTATCATACCAACTACAAGGCAAAATCCAGATGAGTAACTTTTTGTTATGTAATTTTTACTAATAAAAAACCATGCGTAATCACTCAATTGATCTCCTTTTCTACGCAATGATTCTTCAATAATGCCATACAACCTTCATTTTAAGACTTTTTGCACCCAACTTGTGGCTTTCACACATCTTATAATACAACGTTGTTGTAGCATATAAGTTGAGTAACAGTTTGACGTAATATTATTATTTATTAGCAATAATGTTTCAATCATCTAATCGTATAAAAATAAATAGAAGGATTCGGTAAAAATTGTCCATTTTTTGTTACAATTGATTGACTAGACAACTTATAAAATTAGTTTTTTATAGAGATGATTTTAATAGAGTAAATTATAATATGAGCAGTTTTGACTAGAAATATGAATTTATCTGAATTGGTCACTAAATGAATTGAGTAAGAATTCCTCCTTAATCTTGAGGAGCCAAGCATTGTTTTTCAAAATAAATGAGCGTCAAAGTGGACTCTTGTCATGACCATCGGTAAAAGCATTAATAGAACATTGTCACGTCCTTCGGTGAATAAATTTAGTGTTTGCCACAATATTCCAATATTAAACAAGTCAATTGGAACCAAGCATTCAAGACACATGAACATCAATGGTGAAAGTCAACTATTCAAAAAGCATAACATGTGCGCTATTTAGTACTATAGTCCAGAAACAATCAGATGAGACATATCAAAAGTCTTGATCAAACCCTATAAGAAGCACTTCGTGGGCACTGCTAGCAATGGCTCAGATTTTCTCATTGTTATCCCCAAATTGTCCTTCCAATCCATGGTTTCTCTAGTAACATTTGCATCCAGTGACCAATCAAATTGGTGAAGCAACGTCCCCAATGTAAGATGCAGCATTCTATGAGCCAGAGGCACACCGGCACACATTCTTCTCCCAGCTCCAAACGGAATCAACTCATAATTCTGCCCCTTGTAATCAGTCTTTGAGCCTATGAACCTCTCGGGCTTAAACAACGTCGGCTCATCACACCACACATCTGGATCTCTTCCAATTGCATAAGCATTCACAAACACCTGTGTGTCTTTGGGTACAAAGTACCCCATGAAACTGGTGTCATGCATTGCCTTTCTTGGTACTAGGAAAGGAATTGGTGGATGCAATCTGAGTGTTTCTTTGATTATGCCCTGCAAGTATGGAAGATTGTCGATATCACTCTCTTCAATCTTTCTGCTTGGACCTATTACTCGATTGAGCTCGGCTTTCGCCTCGACAAGCGTTGCCGGGTTGCATAACAGCTCGGTCAATGCCCATTCTGTGGTGCTGCTTGTTGTTTCTGAACCAGCCATAAATATTTCCTGCACCACAACACACATTTTCAGTTTCTCACTTTTCATTCCTTAAGTGAAACGTGAAGGGTAATTAATGTTCTCGTGCGAAATATATATGTTGTCAGAGGTCAATCTCGAACACAACGTTAAGGCAATAATCAAGCTAATGATAATCCAAATTCACAATTTCTCAGGCAGTATGACAAAACAACATTTCAACAAATTTGAAGGTTAATTTAGAGCTAATAAAAACTTACCAGTATGAAAATATTGAGATCGTGATCAGAGATTTTAGCTGGCTCGTCAATTCCGTTGCCTTCAAATTCAAGCAACACATCCAAGAAGTCCTTAGTTTTCTCTCCACCCAACTCCCTCTCTTGGAAGCGTTCTTTGACAAACTTAGAGGCAATTTGTATAGCTTTTCCAAGATCCCTTTTCATCTTCCTCTTCAAGCCTTGCGGATCAAGCCACCTCAGCCATGGAAAAAAATCTACCACGTTGCCACTCCCATTCCACTCCATCAGTCCATTCATTGCTTTAAAAAACTCCATCCCTTCTTCCGAATTCGGATCCACCAAGTCCCTAGACAACATGAGGTTGCCAAGAAGGTTGAAAGTCATAAGGAACACGAAACGCGCCACATGAACCCCACGCCCTTCTTTGACTTTGGACGCTTCCTCTTCAATCCACAACTGCATGTTGTCTATGCACTTTCTTCTTATGAAAGCCGTCTCGTTGATGCGTTTGTTCACCACCATCTCCACTGTCACTAACCGCCTCATCACGCGCCAGTGTGTGCCGTACGGGGCCATTGCCAGGGAACCTTTGTGGTAGTCATGAACTCTAGCGTTTTCGTTGACTGTGCGCTCTACAAATGAGAGGTCATGGTTCTTGAAAAACTCTGCAGCTGCCTTGGCAGATTGAACTGACATAGTGTTTCTCACACCAAGTGTAAGCCAAATTACGGGGCCGAACTTGTGTCCTAGGTCAGTGAGAGTCCTGTGTGGCATTGTGCCAAGGTCGAACATGTTGCCGATTACAGGCCATCCTTTTGGTCCGGGAGGAAGCCTACGGTGACTCGAGTTTGATGAACTCCGGCGGATCAAGAAGAGCAGAACTGGTAAAAAGAAGATTATCAAGCAGACAAGAAAATTCCACTCATTGAAGTTGAAGAAATGAAGCATTGTAACGGTTTTGCTCTCTAAAATCAGTAGGATGTTGTGAGCAGACTGAGCAAAATTTTTGTTAATCTATAACTAGATTTCCTAGGAAAGTCTCATAATATTAGCCTTTTGATTATTGTTTAGAAAAGGTAATAAAGAACATTATTGAATTAATTACGACCTTCGACAAAAAATAAATAAAATAAAGAAGTTACGACCTGTTCTTGGGCAGTGATGTAAATATTTTAATCAATGTTTAGTGTTTATTTTGTTTTAAATTAGTTTATTTTTGAAACTAGAGAATCATTTTGAAAGAATCAACACAAGATTTGAAGGAATCATTTTGTCTCATATAACCATAGTAAACTGAAAGAAATTAATTGGTATATTTGTGTGACGCATCTACCCACAGAAGACCTTGAAATGGCAACGTTTGATTGGATTAATCCCTTGGACTTTCGGAGGACAAGACAACCCACCTTGATCATTTTTATATTAATACTACTCTTCGTATAACAATAAACGTGTTTGACCATAAGCTAGGAAAAATGATACCACTTTATAATATTACAATTTAGTAATATTCTTTTGCATTTTTCAGTGAAATGCTTTAAGTAAGAATCTCGTTTGTGATGAATTCAATACCCTTAATTCTTTATTTTTTTAGTGTAAATATATTGCCGTATAAAAAAAAAAAAATGTTCCAGACTTACGATTTCTAATTTTGCACTGTTTTTTATTTATTTATTTTTATTTTATTTTATTATTATCCTTAATTCTCATTGCTTTGCTTAATTCATTGGTGAGGAAAAAAGTGATTTGAATGCATGATTAGGGTTTTCAAGATAGTATGCATAATTCGACAACATTATCCAACAAAAATGCGATAAATGTGAGATCACTTTGAACCTTATTGATTTTTGGCAAATAGATGGTAACTTTTCGGCCACCACCACTACAAGAAAAATGAGCTTTGGGTACAAAATAAAGGGCGCAATTGAGAATTTTGTGTCAGTTTGACCACCAAAAAGCTTAAACAGTTCCCATTCCATAGAGGGCACCATCTCTTGTGCCCAATGTTAAAAAAAGTAGACACAAAACAGTAATGGGCAAGGAAACTGTGATATCCTACATCATCCAGGGGAGTGATCCTTATATGTTTATTCCCATCTCTACCTAGCACGAGGCCTTTTGGGAGCTCACTGGCTTCGGGTTCCATGGGAACTCCGAGGTTAAGCGAGTAGCGCGCGAGAGCACTTCCCAATGGGTGACCCATCCTGGGAGTGCTCTCGAGCGCTACTCACTTAACTTCGGAGTTCCCATGGAACCCGAAGCCAGTGAGCTCCCAAAAGGTCTCGTGCTAGGTAGAGATGAGAATAAACATATAAGGATCACTCCCCTGGATGATGTGGGATGTCACAGAAACCGTGCTGAGTAGAGTTAGATGACAACTTTTTTACTAAAGATGGGCACAAAAAACTTTTTGTGTCTATAAAAGTTGTTTGTCATCAACACTTTATGTGTTTTTTCGTTTGTCTTGACCTCTAACAGACCAAAAAATTAATTTTATAAAATTGTGGTAAATAATAGTATGAAGCTGTTTATTACTGTGCAGTGTTATAGCCTCAAAATATGTTAGCAATACTGTTGTTCAAAATCATTTTTGGTGACAACCGAACTTTAGATCTATCACTTACAAGTAAATAAGAATACCACTACACCATAGTACTAAGTGGTGTGTTTTAGATTTACAATGGATCATTTCCATATGCAATGAATGTTTGTCAGATTTGTATCTTTTTGAACTGCTTTTTAGATTGTTAGCAGGTTTGTTTTGATACTTGGTGATATGGTTTTTGACATTATCTTAAGTGTTTTTTTTTTACTGTATTAAAAGTCCTTCTTGCAGTGACACATAACCAACAATTGTGCCCTTAGGGTCATTGGTATCTGCGCAAAAGTTAATCGGTCTTCAGATATACAAATGAATTAATAATTATAAATTCCTTTTTTTTTTAACACAAATCTTAGAAATTGTGTCCAGTAAATATTATTAAATAATAAATCACTGTACATCCCATTGGGTCTTCAGATAGACAATATATCTTAGTAATTAAAAATTATTTTTTATGACACAAATGTTCGAAACTGTGTTCGGTAAATATTAATAAATAATAAATCACTCTATAGCAAAAGAATATGTTAGCACAATTATGAATTTGTGCCTTTCTTCCTTGGTTGCTTTAATGTTAGCAATGAATTTTTTTTATTAATTTGCAATGACACTGTAATTGTAATTGTGTCCTACAATTTAATATATTTAAAGTAAAAGTAGATTTTTTGTGCCCTTTCTTTAAAATAATGTTTTAAACAAAACACTTTCCTCAATCTTCACGCCTCACTCTCTCCTCATTTCCTTCATTCTGCATCTCTGTGTTTCCCCATTCAAACCCAGCCTCTCCACAATTCCTCCGCCTCTCCTCTCTTTCTGGCTCTCCCTTTCCTAATTGAACCGAGCCTCTCTTCAACCCTAGGCTCTCTCTCTATATTTTCTCCAAATTTTGCTATTTCCCTTTCTCTCTGTCTCTCTCACCTCTCATCTCAATTCTCAAGTCACGCGGAAACAGAATCTGCAAATCTTTCCCCTTCAAATTTCACACACACTGCGAATAGGTGGGTCTCAACTTAAGTCTTCAGTCGAGTTCACACATTCTCACAGACTCTGGAAATCATTCTCCTTCACACACAATTTGCAAATCAATCAGCCTCAATGCTCATCTCATCCCCAGTTCCCCTTCAGTTCAGTGCCTGCATAATGTGATTCCTTCCTCTCCACTTCGTTCTAGGTAAAATGGTAACAATTTAGAACTTGTATTGGTTAATTTAGTTAATAATTTTTTATTAATTTTAGGGTTAGGGTTAGGGTTCGTTTGAAACACAAGGGAACTGAGCTTTTTTCTCTTTTGGGTTATAATCAAAAGGGGATTTGATCTGGTTCAGATTCAAACAGACCCATTTTTGCTTCAAATGGAAAGTGACCTGCTGTCACTTTGAATAGGTTTAGACTGGAAGGTGATTGGCTATTTTTATGAACTAACAAATATTGAGTTGTATATGTACTAATTAATGTATTAGCCAATGGTATATTTGGCTTTGGAAAGCTGTTATTTAGTCTGAAGCTTATGACATGGTTTTTCATATTTTTTACTATGCATTTGAGGGTTTATTGTTTTTTGATGTTACTTGGTTGATATAGGTAGCACGGATGAGTACTGGAAGAGGCAAGATGCAGCATAAGTTATGGCTCTAGTTAAGTAGACAACTACCAATTTCAATCATTTGAGCAAGTCATTGATACGTCCTACTGTTGGTTTTTTTAATAAATACTTGTCCTCTCTTCATAATGTTTCTGGTTTACCCTGAGCTTAAGAAGTTTAATAGAACAAACAACTCTTGAGAATAAATTGGTGGCAATTTCTGGGCTTGCAGTTAGTTTGGGAAGGACTTGGGCTTGGATGGGGAGCTGCTGTTAGAAACTGGAACGGGTATATTGATTTTCATGAAAAGCTCATGTCTTTGTTTGCAATTTTAACCAAAGTTTGATGCTTCTCTAACTTCATTTTCTATATTAGTGGAGCTCTAAGGAGAAGGATAAGAATAAAGTTCTTCTTGGATTAGGCGGTGGACATTATTCTCCTCGGCATATGGATATTGTTCTGTAAGTTATAGTCACTTTACAGTTTATCCATTTTTTTTCAAATATAGAACATTGTTTTCTTAGTGGCAATGTGGCATGGCATCCAGCTTTATTCTTTGTTTCCTTATGTGTGCGGTTTGATGCATAACTTATTAACTGTGAACTGAACCTTGTCATTTTGATTGGTCGTGTCAAAGTAAATATGGTAAATAAGTCTGCTATAAACAAATGGGATTACCAGACTATAGATGATACTTTCTTCATCCTGTTCGGAACTTCGGGCTTGATCTGCTTCCTCTTTCCTTTTCTCTGTCTCTGCAGCTTCTGCAACACCCATAAGTCCTGCATTACCCTCCAAGCCCTTTCTTGCTTCCTCTTCCATCTCTATCAAATGAATTGGCACTGGTAGTACTTTGATATGTTATTGTCAAATTGCTCTTGTCACATCTCGATCCGGGCCCCCACCACATCTCGGGATCGACCCCATCGTAGCACGATATTGTCCGATTTGGGCCCGGATCACGCCCTCATGGTTTTGTTTTTGGGAATTCACATGAGAACTTCCTAGTGAGCTCCCAAAAGGCTTCGTGCTAGGTAGAGATGGGAATATGCATATAAGGCTTACAAGATCCACTCCCCCGGGCTATGTGGATGTCACAATCCACCCCCCTTAGGGGTCCGATGCCCTCGTCAGCACACACCACGGCCAAGGATTGGCTTTGATACCAAATTGTCACATCCCGATTTGAGCCCCAAAACTGACACACCCCGACCTGGAATGTTCACATTAAACTTCTAGAACATAATACTAAAGTTTCATTACGATTCAACAGTTGGATCTCCGCCAATTACCAATTCAAGTGGCGGTCAACGCTTTATTTTACGAACTTACAAATCCAAGTGACGAAGCCAGCACGGCTCGATTTAGGGTCCTAGTGGACATTCCGGGTCGGAGTGTGTCAGCTCTGGTACTGAAAGTGGCAAATGATTTATTTGTTCAAGTCTCTTCCAAATTTTCTCCTAATCTTCCCTTTATAGTTAATTTTATTTCCAACTAGCTTTTGTATGCTCTCGTCAAATTGCTTGATATGATGCTGTTAATTTCCAACTAGCTTTCAGCTTTGGCAAACTGTGTGTAAGCTGTAAGAAATCTAGTATTTAGCAATTGTTAAGAATCCAGCTACAATTCATTGTTGTGACTTATGAAATTCCTATTACCTTACTCTTGCTAAGAGTGTTGATATCATATCTATTCATTTGTTTCCTTAATTTGAGTTTTATTTTTAATGGGTTAAACAAATAATTATGAGAATTGAAATTTGAATTTTTTAAGTAAAGTACTTATTTGGCGTGTTTGTGGTGTTATAGGAAGCAGGGTCTAAGATAAATTTGGAGAACTTTGAAAGGAAGATAGATTAAGTGTTTATGGTTTTTGTAATTCCAAATTTCAAATTTTTTTTTATTCTATTTCTGAAAATGTAGTTTTAACATTTTTGAGGGTACAATGCATGTTAATTCTAAGAAGAGGAGATTTGAATCTGTAAAGTGTAGGTCTCTAACTGCTCCGCTCTCTCAGTGTAAGATCTTATACTATCTTTGTTAAGTTGAGTTCCCAAATTAAAGATCTT